TGGAAAATTGTACTTAGTAGTCAGTATAAGCTTTTAATAATATAAGTTTGCATGTGGTAGAATACTGCATGTTGACCTTTTGATGACTTAGGTCAGGGGTCTGCAACCTTTAACACCCAAAGAGCCATTTGGACCCAGTTTCCACACAAAAGAAAACTCTGGGAGCCTCAAATACTTTTTGACATCTAAAATGAAGATAACGCTGTATTATTGTTTTTACCTTTATGCTTTGTGTGAACAACTAAGGAGTGTTGCTGATGAAATCCATGAAGTGCTACAGAGAAAATTACATGTTATTTATGTAATGAACACATTTGAACTCTTAAAGAAATATAACCAAAGGAAAGACACCCAGCTGAACTAAAATGATCCAGCAAACAAAAACTGCTGTGAGCCGCCACCCTTATATCTCCTTTGTGCTTTTGGAGCCTTGACCTGACTTTTAAAAAACAATTGAAAAAAAAGCTCTATGCTGCTGAAAGATGAAAAATAGATATTTTCAAAATTCTGCCTAAATATGTATTTTACCAGGTTAATGTGTGTGGCGGGGCGTGGTCTGCAGCGCCGCTGTAGGGGAGGCGGACGCACCTCGCCGCCTTTATGTCTGTGCTATGTATGCTGTTGTTGGTGTGTGTCGGGCTGTGAGCTGCAAAGCTACAGCCGGCTGTGTGCGTACAGCAACCGTGTGTGAAAAGTGGTCAATAAAGAGATGCTGAAAAGCGTGTTCATGCAAACATAAGATCCGAAGATCCACATTATGAAGAATTGGCCTACCTGGGGTTGAAAGTCTTGATAAATGCACGACGTTTCGTTTCGGCGGGTTCCGCGAGTGTGACGCTTATTTTGAGCGATGAAAAAATAATAAAATATAATTTTATTTTTATATTTCAATATCACAATAATCTTCCAATTTAGAACTACAAGTTTAAAAAAAAAAAAGGAACTATACACTTCAGCTAAATACTTCTAATTTATTTTCCCAAACCACGCGGAGCCGCACTATAAGGACTAAAGAGCCGCAGGTTGCCGACCCCTGACTTAGGCTGTTGTTCACTACAAGACTTTGTGTGCATTCCAGAGTGCTCTGGCATTCACATCCTGGGAGCATACGAGAGGTTGTAGCTTCTCTTATTGTTTTGTGGTAGGATAAACGTAACTATGTCAGTTTTAAGTGCCTTCTGTTTAGATGAAATGCTGGACTTCCAGACCAGCAGGTTTAGGGAAGTCTTGAAGGGGTCACACTCTGACCCCACACACACACATGTGCACACACACATCATCCACATTCCAATGTAAGGAACAAACACCTACTGATGTATAAATAAAGACCAGGGCAGTGCGCGGGTCCCTGAGCCTCACTCCCGTGCGAGCGCTCTGTAGCTGCTCTTGCTGCAAGTAAAATCTGAGTGTTTCTCCTCTCTGACTCTCAGCTGAACAAGTGTCTTAGAATCCATCTCTGGACAACTATTGAGTTCCTAATCTTCAAGTCACTCCTGTTTTCTGCTGTTAAACCACTTCCACAGTTTCTCTGCTACTTTCATGGTTCAATTTTAAAATATTCTGCTAT